CAAGGAACAAAAGAAGGCTGTAAATAAAGGGGTAAAATTAGCAATCAACTTTGTTAATTTTTCGGGAAGAATGTTATATCTCTGTATTAAAAATTACTAATAGCCTGCTTCACAGTTTCTAAAATGTGTTTTTTCTAAACAATGTTCATCCATTCTTTAGTTTTTGTATTTTTGTTTATCCTGTGCTACACATAAACTGGAAGTTACTACTCTCACCTTTGATAACACCTTTTAAAGGAATTATTTCATGCTAGGGTCCTGTCATTTAATAAATTATGGATTCTCTCCAGGTTATTCCATTTCTATTTTGCTATCTTAAATCATGAATAAACTCTTTGCTAATCTTCTGTGGGTTTTTTTTTTTTACTAATACTACTTGAGATCTCTGATATATTCTGACTTCTATGTGAAAATATTAGCATTGTTCCAAAAATGCAACATAATATAAGAATGTTCAAAGTCAGGAACAATCATGTCCTCATTCTCTGATCGTGAAATCAAGTTGGATCTGGACTTTCAGGCAAAGATGTAGACTAGAAAGTAAAGATTGTTCGACGATTTCAAGGATTCAGTCATTTTTCCTAAAGCTTATTGGAGGAAATCAATCCAACAATATATGAGCATTTGAGGATGCAAGCATTATTCCTGAGTAAAAGATTAAAGTTTATAAAGGACGAAATAGTCTATATAATAGCTTATGATAAAGCCAGAGGATTGTATAGCTTTTCGTGAATTAAACACACTGACAGCACTGTGGTATCAGAAACCTCAGACAGATATGTCTACAGAGTGCTGATCTGGATTCTATGTTAGTATTTTATGAATGGTATGTTGAGAAAATGGCATGAAAACATATGAGTTTAGTAACTAGGAAAATGTCTCCATGGTCAGAGCACTTCCCTGTAAGAAGTGAATAGATGAGCTGTAGTTCACATCACCAGCACCGACTAATAGCCTGCTGTGTAGAAGAAGACTAGAGAGGCAGAGACAGGATCCCTATAAGAAGACAAATACCTGCATTAGTCATATTACTGAACCCTGGATCTTGCTGAGAGACCGTACCTCAATGAATAAGATAAAGAATGATAAAACATGATTCCTGATATCAGCCGGCAATGGTATATAACCAGTTCAGGCTTGATTATCAGATCCGGGTTGTTTACTACTATCCCCTTACTGTATGACATAAGATATGCTCACTTAACACTGTGGCATGCTTGTATATTGTTTATTTTACATCATAAAGTCTGTCATATAACATACTTTCAAGAATTTTTGTTCTTAGAAAATGGTTCATTTGCCTGTATGTGATAATTTTGTCATGGATGGTAGATGTAGACCTACTCACCTCCGTGTTTGATGATTCGAGGTAATTTAAAGACATATATATGTCTGAAAAATTTGAATATAAATGGTCAAAAAGATCAAAGCTATTTTTTCCTTTAGATTCACATCTTGCCCTAAAGTACTAGTATTGCATCTATCCCTGACTTTTACAGAAGACTTCTGAGTTCCATGGGATTCAACTGACTCCATGCTGTTTGTTCCAAAACTTGTCTGTCTCCAGTTATGAAGATCATCATCAAAGCCAAGCTCCCCATCTCACAGGGAAATGGGAAAGAAGGCTTCACTCAAACAATAAAAATGAAAATAACATTGTAATCATTGAGAGTGTCACTACTAATCTCATGGTAATACATGTTCATCACTGTTTATGATACTTAATATGCATTCAGTAAAGTTATCTAAACTTAATTAAATCAAGTAACCTAACATAACCTAATAGCTTCTGCTATTTCCTATTTTTCTAAAGATGTAAATCCAGGTTGTTCCTAGACCATGAACCTTTACATTCTCTTCATCTTCCTAAAACCTACTGAACTTTTAAAAACATGGGTCTGCATTTTAGAATCTTAAATATTAATTTTCACTCAGCCTTTAAAGATTTCACACATAAAAATTTGCATTCAGAATCAATGGCTCTTTTACATGATAATGTAAGTTCTCTTAAATCAGCTTCTGGAATTATAACTTGCATTTTAGTAAGAGATAGCAAGTCCCTCCAGGAGGCCTGTTGGTTTCTCTCTTTGGTCATTTTCCTTTTTTGTTGTTTTTTTTGAATTCTATTAATGCTCTTTCAAATTAATACACTCCCATTTCTACAATGACAAAATTGTCAGGAAAAACTGATATACCCTGGGTGTTCCTTGATCACTCGAGTCCAAACAACCAGTTTTCATTAAGGTGGAATTAATATTGTCTGCTGCAAAGCAATAGAAACAAATCGCTTGATTGTGGGTAGAAGAGTTTTGTTTGGTGAGAACTCTTCAATCATTCTGAGGATCTGAGAAATCAACACAGAAATAATAATAGCCTATGGATACTCAGCTTCTACGTAAAATCAGCAACTTTACATTTGAGGTTTTATTGCATGTATGTTAGTTACCATGACTAATACTTCTGGGAGAATCTTCTTGCTTTATTGTTGCTACATGTTTATTTGTTTAGAAATGGGGCTTACATAGCAACGGGTGCCCCTCAGTCTCCTTCTGTGACTGACGACAACACTGAGTTTCTGATCATTCTGTCTCTTTCTCCCACGTGCTATCGATGAAGGCAATGTTGTGCACCACCACACTTGGCTTGTAACAGATTTTATATGGAAGGGAATGACTTCTTTGCTTGCCACTAATAGGTAAATACATTATTTTGCTCAAGCAAAAAGAATGAGTTCACAATGAATGTAATATTATCACTAATAAACATATGAAAAGTTGAAAACAAAAAAATCACTGATGTGAATACTTTTAAATTTGTTGAAAACAAATGTTAAAATGGTTGAAAATAAAAAAAATCACTGATGTAAATACTTTTGTTTTCAGAATGCATGAAATTATAGGTCCTGGTAGCAATGTCCACCTCTAGAAAATACACACTTTGAAGTACATGGGTCTCATTACAGACCTGGTATTCTTTCCCACATTCATTAAGAACTGATAGATAACATGCTAAACATATTTGACTGTTTTCATATATATTCGCATCCTACTGCTATAATGATATATCTAAGGGGAATGGCCTAATTGATTCAGTCCATGATGGATTGAGCTTGTGATAGACACCAGTGGTCTGCTCTCTTGGTGGGTGTGAAGCAGCAGGAAAGAGAAGGCACCAGCTCTCAAAGTCCCTTTTAAGTTTTGTACTCAACAACATAACACCTCTTCCTTGTCTGAAAGTGTTCACCACCTTTCAAGCTTCAAGTTAAAACACAGATTTTCACTTGTGGAATCAGGGGTATCTTTCATATCTGAGCCACAAGAGCATTAAAACATCTGCTATGCCCAGTACTTGATCCTGCTGGCATTTCATCTTTAAATGAAATGAAATTCCCACAAAACATAAATTTGTAAGAAATTTTCAAACAAAACTCCACTATATTTGAAATTCTGCTTTCCATTTCGTCTGTAATTTTGTCTCACAAATACACAGTTCAGTTCAACATGCAGTGGTGTAGGAGGACTTTCTGTACTTGTGTTTCTTTCATTGGCTGAATAAAGAAACTGCCTTGGACTTTTGATAGAGAAGAGCTTAGGTAGGCGTGGAAAAGAGAACTGTATTCTGGGAAGAAGAAGGCAGAGTGGCAGACGCCATGAAGCTCCTGCCTGAGACTGTTGCTGATTAGAATATTTCCTGATAAAGTCACGACCTCGTGGTGATACACAGATTGGTGAAAATGGGTTAGACCAGGATGTGAGAGTTGGACAAGAAAAGGCTAAATATAATGGGGCAAGCAGTAATTTAATTAATACAATTTCTGTGTGATTATTTCGGGTTAAGCTACCCAGGTGGCCAGGACAAGAAGCAGGCCCACTTTTTCCTCTAACAATGCAGACTCCATGCAGCAGAATTGTGGCTCACTTACATGGGGTGTTTGGACAGGGTTTCATGAAAGAAAACTGCAGAATGATGGTAGGGAAATTAAGAACCTGCCATGTGCTAACATCACATCAAGTCCTAGGATGAGAAGGGTACTTCACATACAGGACAGCAGTTGGAAAAGGGCTGTTCAGCCTCAGCAAACACAGCCTTTGGATCTCTTAGAACCAGGAAATAAAGACCATGCTTTCACTGTCCTTATCCACTAGAGAAAGGTTACCTGTTACTCGGCTTCCAGGCTAAGTCTAATACAGTCAGTGCAGCCCATTAAGACTAGGTTCCAGGACATCACACAGGATGAAGAATTAAAAGACGCTTTGGAGAGGACAAAGGAATTAACGGCCTGTCTGTACTACATTATCTTAATGGAGCTGTCATTGCTTGTGTTCCATTCAACAAATAAGGGAGGAGAAAACCATATGGATTCCCTTCATGGTATAAAGCAGAAAGAGTAGCAGAAATATGTGTATGTTTTGTTACAATCAAGGACTGTAGTGATGTATAAGTCTCAAAATGTAAGTCATATATATATGTATATATCCAATACATACAAGTCATGAATAAATATATATACATATATATAATCCATACATACACAGAATAAAATAGGAGGATAGTTAACCTGGCTAAAATAAAGTAACTCTCCATATTGAAGCTGATGAAGATGGAAAATTAAGAAAGTTTACATTGTATATTCTAGAAATTAATACAATTTCTTTATAATTAATCAGCTGTTAGAAATGTCACATGCTATCTCCTCAGAAAATACAAAACCGTGGTTTTGCATCTTCATTTATACCATGAAAATCCACACTTCACCTCTATGCTTATATATGTGTGTGTATGTGTGAATATATGAATTTACATATATATGACATGATATATATATATACTTTTTTCATTTATAAGACATTATCAGAAATTATATCTTTATTTCTTTATTTTGAAAGTTTAGAAGTAGTTGGAAGATATTGATTTAGTATTAAAAATAATTATCGGAACTACATTGTTAGCTTCTTCATAACAAATTCTATTTTATTTAATAGAATTAAAGAGGTGTAATAATTTGAAACAGTTTGAATAATGTGTCTGGAATCATATGGTAGTTGGATGCCACGTCATATGCAGGAAAAGGCTTTGGATTTAGGCTCCCCGATCAATTTTCTTTCACATATGTTGAAGCATTAAGTATGGAGAAGTAATGAAGTCCTCACACCTGGGCAAGTCCATCAGTTAACACAGTCAAGTGGGGTATTCTGGGAAGAAGCTACAAGAAAAGAGCAGATGGTTACAGGGTTGCTGAAACCAAGCACTAAACTTAATGTCTATCTTTGTATTAGGACAAACATAAAATAACTTAGAGCAGGTACCAAAATATCTCTTCTGACATATGGACTGACCATCAGTTACCCAGTAAGATTCCCTGTGGCACACTCTCCAGCAGCCAAACATAGAAGCACCATCTCCACAGGCATACCCATAGAAAGAGACTCAATCATACAGAGATGATTGACACTGTTCACATAAATACTTTGGTTCAGAGTTTACCAAAAATATAAGAAAAGAAAGTTCTTTATCTGTATATGAGAGACGTTTAGTAGAAATGGCGAGATAAACAGGTAGATGATAATGCTTTTGTAACATTTTTGAAATAAAATGTGTAAGTTAATTCAACATGAAAATAATAAATTATTCTGATATAGAATCTTAAGCCATTGCACTTTTCTCTAGGAATGAACAAAATTGGTATCCCAAAGAGACAGTGATAATTTTCTGGTAAATATTTTCTGAGAAGCTAAAGATGTCATATAAATCTTATCACTAAAATGCAAAATAAGGTGATCAGGAGCAGGAGCAAGAGAAGTCACAGGAGTTTAACAGATGACATTAGCCAGCATCAACTTTTGTCACAGGTGTATTTCTTAAATATATGCCCTATTATAAATATTGAATATCAGGGTAGTATAAAATAGTAATAGTAATAATAAGAAAAAATGGAAGCAATTTTCCAATTCTTATATGCATGTTCTTGGATATCCACTTTCCACTGCATGGAGTACTTGCACATACGTTTATATGCTTTGTGTGGCAGCTAATTGCTCCTGTCTAGATAGGCTCATTTTGTTAAAAGAGCACTGTTACCACATTGAACTGCCCTTCATCTGCCCTTGAGAAAGTGAGACAGCTGAATGGGCTTCTCTTGTCTGAAGGTTAATCTGGCTGCTGCTAGTGTACAAATCCAGACTTTCCACCAGTGGGAAGATGCTTTCCTCACACGAAGACAATGTAAGACATGATTTCCTCTAACACAGACCTTCCATATAGCAGTATGGAGAGTCATTACGCTGTGCAGTTATACACAAGAGGAGAAGATACTCAAGCTTACGTTCCCTATTATGTTCCAGAGATTATTATTTAAGATGATTTGACACCACAGAGATACATAGACCTTTTTAAAAACTCTCTCAGCAGTTAAGAGCACTGACTGCTTTTTAAGATGGCTAGGTTCAATTCCTGGCATCAATATGGTTGCTCACAACGATCTGTAACTACAAGTTCAGGGGTCGGACTCCTTTTTCGGGCCTCAGTGGAAACCAGATATGCATCCAAGGCATAAAAACACGTGCAGGCAAAGTACATACATTTAAAATTATGAAGTAATGTTTAATGTGAAAAACTAAGCACTAAAGTTTTTTTTTTTTTTTTTTTTTTTTTTTTTTTTTTTTTTTTTTTTGGCAGATACACAGTCTGTATAAGCACTGAACAAAAAGTAAAATTTCAGAAAGTTCTGGGTGATTTGTAGTGGTGTACATTACTGCAGCTGAGACTCTGGGTGTTTCACACGTTCTATCAATGAGCAAAATCTCTATCCCACAATACAGTTCTCCTTGAAGCATGAACACACACACACACACACACACACACACACACACACACAGGGAGAAAGAGAGAGAGAGAGAGTTCAGAGTTCAATAACTCTGCATTTAGTGTTTCTTTTCATCTAAAATTACTGGGAACTTAGAATGTATTGCTGCAGCTTGTATTAATTGTGTTAATGTATAGTAAGGATTTACCTGTTGATATAACTGATTGTATGACTGAGAAAAATAAAGTCTATATTTTAAAAGACTTTTAAATCATTTGGTGTTTTTAAAACTTAAACAGTAACATCATAAAATGAATTAATTAAGTAAATGTTTTTGATTTTTAAAGTCTTATGCTAATTTAACCTAAAATTTATACAATTCCATAATTTCTGTTTGATTACTTAAACCTTGAAATAAAAGTTATTAAAAGCAACTGGGTGCTTCTTACAGAAGACCTGGATTCTATTCTCAGCACCCACACTGAAAAAAGTCACAACCATTTGCAGCTTCAGTTATGGGAGACACAATGCCCTCTTCTGACCCCCCAGAGTACCAGGTATGCATGTGGTTCACAAACATATATGCAGACCAAATATTTACACATATAAAGTAAAAAAATAAGTCCAAAAAACAATTATAAATATGCTGTTCTTTAAACAGACAGTATCAACAACCTTGAAATTCTTTAAATATGTAGTAAAAAATTAAATTATATCAGTAAATTGTTCATTTTCTAATAATAACTAGGGTTTGGATTTATTTCAAGTGGAAATAAAGCTCACAAGATTTTAGAAATATAACATTTCAGGCAAGCAAATCTATTGCTAGAAGAAAAATAACAATTTTTAGCGAAGTTTATTTGTAATGAAGACTAGAGGACATAAAATAGGATAAATATCAACTCTCTTTTATATAAATAAACCACCATTAAAAGCCACTAAGAAAATAAAGCATGATTAAGTCCCAGGATCATGTTATATGATGGCACCTTAACACTTCCTCTCTTTAGTGAATAAATATATTTGAGATCACCTTAGTAGCTTTTAAAAATTAACTAAATATTTTAATATCTTAGCTCTCTTCTTTTTTGTGGGCCCTCTATTGAAAACGAAACACTTTGTTATCTTTTTATTTCATGTATGTAGTTTTAAAATATTACTTGTCCTTTGTTAGTGTAATGAGAAGCAAACACTTAAACAAAGAGTTAAACCACTACTTCTACTACATATCCGTTTCTCCTAGAGTCTGGCAATGAAATTCTCATTCTCTATGCCATGACACAAAGTTGTCTTTCAATTATTGCACACCTTTTTTTCTATTGATTTTAAATCTAGAGCAATCATTACTCTCACAAGTTCTCAATATGTTACACTTTCTATGCATTTTTAATTAAATCTATTTCTAGACTTTAAGTATCTGAAGTTTTTTTTAGTAATTCTAAAGCATAGATTGATCATAACAGCTTTTAAATTATATTATAACATTACTGTACAACAAACCTATCAGAAGTGTCTTATTTGTAATAAAGTCATCTATATTCATCTAAATTCTGAGAATCTACAAATGCAGACACATTTATGCTTGATAAACCTTAAGTGTATGTTTTGATTATTGAAAGCTAATTTTAAGCCCACTGAAGCTAGCTGTTGCCCTGACCTTTAGAGCATTTTATTTTTATTTTTAGATTCTATGGCAGTGCTCTGGGCTCAGCCTGACTTGACAGATATTGGGCAAGTTGTTGTTCTTGGCACTTTTCTCAGTGTGTTTAAGACCCAGCAGTAACATCTTTCAGCTTAAGAAAACTCGGCATGAACAGTGGTGCCCATATTTGTACAGACACATCCAAAAAAAGTTTGCTTTTTAAGAAAGTAACACCAGTGAAGCTTTGAGGGTATTTATTTCTAAAACCGCATATGTGCTTAAGTAGAGTAACCTAATGATGTCAGATCTTCACAGAAAAATAATAATCATGATGAATAAAAATGAATAATAATTTCTGAATTTCAAGATTCAAATTTATTTAAAAATGTACAAATTTTGTGTTTGTCTATCCATTTCTTCAATTTTCTTTCAGAAATTCTAACTGAAGAAAACAATTTTACATTGACCTTTTAGAGTAATTGCTTTTATAGACATTAAAGTAGAAAGTTTTCTAAATCTTTGGTTTAACATGATCCAAAATATTTTTACATATTCTAAGTGTAGCTTAAAATTTTATTGAATGTTGCATTAAAAAGTTTGATTTAGTCAAATTATTCCTTTATCAATGCCTATAATAGAGAAGGGTTCAAAAGAAGCTTCAATAAAATATCAGATTTGTTTCCTTTATCAGTGTGAGAAAACATATTTTGTGGTAATTCATGCCATATTTAATTATACAGACTATTCAGGAGTCAAAGTACATCTGGCACCATTGAGTCGTGATTGCATGTGCTACACTCCAAGGCGAAAGACAATGATAGGTTTTAATGGGTCTCAATCAGGGAGTGCTGGATTTGGAAGAAGTAGGAAGCATCTGCCAAGAAAAGACATTATTTTCCAGCTTGAACAGTGATTGTGCCTTTGAAGAACACATTCCATGTCCAACATTCTTAAATTATTGGGTCTTGAATCATAACTCAACTCTACTCTTTCTGAAAGATAGAAAATCATATGTAGAGATGACAATTTAATTGTATACATGCATGGAGATCATGCATATTTATACTTCCTGAAATTATTCTCAGACAATTCTTGTTAAAATGGCACACTAAACCAACATTTGAACATTCATACATGACATATAGGTAAGAAAATCATTAATTTCTCTTTGTAAATTGGCTACATTAGTTTATAATTTTCTGTATGTTTTGATTACTGATACTAAGGTTTAAGATAATATTTATTTTTAAATACTTTTAATGTTCATTTACATTATGTACAATACACCTTTCTCCTGTTTTCCTAAATTCTCACACTGGGTGGAAGTCACATGATCTGTCATGAAAAGTGCATCTTTGGTGGCCAATGGGCACACTTATTGTTTAATGTGTCATCATGTGAAATTGACTATGTCAAAAAGAACCATTATGAAACCCAGATGACAGAAGGGATGGCTTGTGACATTTTCCCCTTATGCCATGTGTAAACTGACTGACTGAAGGTGGTTTTTCTATATAACAAAAGCCTAAGGAGAGAAGACTGGTGGGGTGTGTTGCTGGTGTTTGTGAATTTCGTTGCAAAGGGAAGGGAAAGGGACAGACAACATAGCAAAACTCTAGCTCACTTAACATTAATTTATTGCAGGTTTTGTCTTTTCTGTAAGAATTAACGTCAGAATCATGAGAACTGAATCTGGTCTACTTGAGCATTTTTTTTCTCTTATTTCAGAGGTCCAGAACAAACATTTCAGCTTGGTGGG